CAGGAATTAAAAAGCGCACATAAACCACTCCTGTTAAATACTTTATATTTAGAAAAATTGAGACAACTATCTAAAGTTCTTGTAAGAAAAATTAGAAGAAAAGCTACTTTCCCAAAAACTTGCATGAATGTGTAGGAATAGCTGCGTACATGAGCATGTCCCCTCACCTGTGCATGTGTACAGTAGTGTATGCTTATGTTATTTGTTCCATTTTCAGTCTATTCTAAACATTAGTTCAAAATATGATTTATAATAGTAATCTTACTGGGATTTTTGCTGGTGTCCTGGCCTGCTGTCTTACGTCAAAAAGAAGTGGAGTGCTTTAGCTTTTTCATTGCTTTTTAATGTTCTCCCCCTACAATCTCTTCAATATAATGAAGAATAGGACTCTAATATGGTACTATAGAGTGTAAAATTCAGAGAAAGATAAAATTCTTGGGAATTTTTCGAAGTTTGTGAACTGTACACTGCAATGTAGCACGATGAAATTTACACATCTGATTTGTACACCTGCTAGTAAAAATCAATAGATTAATTCCAAAATAGCATATTTCGCATTATTCTTTGTTTGTTTTCAGTTCAGATTAAAACCTTCACAGTATAAAATCAGTGATTTAATAACTTTTTATTTTTCAAAAAGGGTATTTTCTAGCCAGGAAAGACAAGAGTGAGTAATTTAATGCCATCTGAAATACATAGCATTAATACAAGATTTTAAGTCAGTCCAGTTGGCTGCAGATCAAGAATACCAGAAAAAACTCAGTCAACTCTTTCCATAAAAGATCCCTTTCTTTTGCGGGTAATCAAGCTCACCTTGTCAGTTGTGCAATAGGCTTGCCTTTAAAAACCAATGTCTCCTTTTCAAAGAAATTATGATCATCTTGACCCAAGGGTGTCAAGGAGGAGCACGGCTGGTGGTGCCCTGATGGCCCTAAGAGGGGGCTGCTTGGACCAGGACATCCTCTCCCCTCCTTAACCACAGGGGACCCCACTGGCACTAATGGAGCTCTGCTCTGCCCTGGAAACCAGCAGATGCTTTGAATGGGAGCACTTACAGGGAAAGTGGGAATGATTCAATCCCCCTGAGGATATTAAAAGAGAGCACAAAGTTAGTTTTGTGTACTAACCACTTCTGTACAAAATTTTTGCTGTGAAAATTAAAATAGGTTTTACTGTTAATAGTACATCTTTTCAAAAGGTACCCTTTGCTTCAGCTCTGCTCAGCTGAAAGAGGTATGTGGGAAAAGGGGCTACAGTAGGAAGAAAAGTGTGTGTGTGATGTTCAAGCAGTGGCCACAGGAGAAGGGGGAAAAACACACTTAGAGAAATACAGGGTATAAGAGAGCAAGGAAGTGAAGGGTATCTGCTTCAATTGTTTTGCCATGCCCTGATAAGACAAAATGAATGTATTAAATCCAAAGTTAACCAGTGTTGTACTCCTTAACTAGTTTCTTTTGTTTGAGTAGGTTAAAATCTTTGTAACATACTGATAATATGGGTACAAAACTGTTTGAACCTTAAAAAAAAAAAAGGGAGGGGAAGTACTTTTTAGAAATACTCTGATTAGTGTTGCCTTTTTACAGTGTTTGTTGGTTCTTCGTCAAACGTTCAAAATAAAAAATAATAACATTATGTGCAAAGAACATTATATTCAGAAATTGCCGGGTGTTCTCCATGCAGAATGCTATAAGGACATCATGTTAATAAACAGCCTCACTTTGTAAATGTAAGCACAAAGCAACTTGGTAGTAAAAAGACAAATAAGCACTTGAAGACATAGGAGTACATAAAGATAAAAAATAGTATTGTTCTTTTCAATAGCAATATAAGCTCCAAAATAACAAAAGTGTCTAAAAAAGTGGCTGAATCTCATTTGCAATGATACTCTTCAAATTCTTTTTCTTTTATTAGCATTGTTTGCTGATGATAGCAACAGGGCTTAGGAACAGTTTTCCTTGAAAAAAGGTTTGTATTTCTTTTAGTATGACCTTAACTTTGGGGATTTAATACTTAATTTAGGAGTAATTCAAGCATCCTGCATTCTAGGAACAGTTACAATGCTTTCCATTCTAAACATATGAATATATTCAAGTTTAACTAGCTCCTTTATCATACCAGTGAGGATACAAATTAAAAGAAATATTGTTTTTCCCAGTCCATGACCTAAAGTATTTCCTCTTCCTGTGGAGACATGTTAAAAATAAAATCTGCAGACAAATAACATCTCAAGTTTGACGTACTGTGTATGTTTGTGATACATTCATGAATTGCCCAATGCAAATGCCTAAAGGCAGGAATTAGAGTTGTAAGGGCATTCTTTGAGCAGGCACCTTCTCATGCCCGAGTTTTGACTTCATGATTGTAAAGGAAGGATTTCTGTATAATTCTACAAATGTAATTTATATTTTTACATTCTAATTTGGAAGGTAACTAGCTATCGGTGGGGAAAAAATGTGAAAGACTGGATGCAGAGGAAATGCTGTGTTTTCAAAAGAAAACAAATGAATTGCTAATATCTTGCTGGCTTTAGAGCATATCACACTTCAGTAATAAAATCTCAGAATATACACACAAGGGAGATACAAAAAAGGCAAATAGGCTATAAAGCTCTTGGAAATTTATTAGATAATATCAAGGGTAAAACTGTCTATAACATAAATTAATCTTGTATTTATTTAGGCTTTCACATATACAGTTTAATAGCATCCCGGCCAAACAGAAGGTGATTATTGTGTTATTTAGTAAATTGTAAAAATAGAAACTGTAGTTAAAATGTCAAAACTTCTTATGACAAGGTTGATGTCAACAGCAGTCAGAACCATAAACTATTGCTAGGACTTCTGAACAGAATAGCTAAATTCCATCCTGATAATATTATTGGTTTAGAAAGTGGTGTTTGCCTGCAAAGCCAGCCCGGTGTGCCAAGCCTGAGTATCACTTTGAGCAATACTTTGCCACCTCTTAATTTCAGCAGATTCTTCTCTAGCATTCTCAATCTGCTGCATGCGGAGCAAGTTGATACTTTTTTGGCAGGATAAATCAAACAATTTGCTTGGGGAAAATTCCAGATTTTTCTCTTTCTAGTCTGGGGGAAAAAACAAAACAAAACAAAACAAACCCTCCCAGTCACCACCACTCATTTTGTCATGGTGTGGCAAGTAACTTTTGGGTTTTAAGTCAAGTGTAAATTTCAGGTTGATTAGCCTTTCCAGTGGTATATTTCCAAGCAAAAGTAATAGAAATAAATACATAGTTGGGGGACTGTGTGGGAGGCAAGTTTTGATAGCAGCACTGGTCCCCCTCTGGATGAGTAAACTGGTGAACATATCACCCACCATAGCAAACGTAGCCTTATGCCACAAAGGAGGTCACGTCTCCTTTGTTAGCAGAGCCTTATTTGCTACATTGGGCTTTCTGCGCCTATGTAGATTAGATGAAATAACTGTTCTGACATTCAGACATCAATTTAACGTCAGCTAAAATGAAGATGCATGGATTTTCAATGAATCATTTGGGACACCGTATTTTCAGTTTTAAAGAAAGTGAAACTTAACCCAACTCACTGATTGCTAAGTTGTTTTGAAGTAATATTTTTTCAGGGTCATGGTAAACTCAGTTCAGGTTCATCAGGAGGTCCTGCAAATTCATCAGGTTTTTCAGCAACCCAATCCAAAATATCATGTTGTAATAAAAAATGAAATACACGGTTTTCCTGGGTTTGGCCTTTGCTATGAACATTGTTCATAACTCTGCTATGGACTGACAGATTTGTATTTCTGCTTTTCTAAGATTTAGTTAACTAACCTCCGTCACCTCTGTCTTCACATAAGGACCATGTAAATGATATTTTATACGATTATTTTATCTATACAGTTCCTTTAATTCTAGCAGGAATCATTTAATTCAAGTTTTGCAACATCTTTGAAGCAGTCTATAAAAGACCTGCTAATAGAATCCTAACTAGAGAAGACATTGTGTAGCCTAAAACAGTTTAATGACCATCAAAAAAGGCTGATTTGGGCATTTATATTACCTACTTCTTGTAACAATGAAGTAATTATAACATCTTTGTTTCTGTTTTTTTGAGCAGGATTTGTAAAAATATTATTTTGAGTTAACAGAACTTCTTATTTTCTAACTTCCTATTGTGAAAATCCATGCAGGAACCAGTGGGGGTTTTCATATTGCTGAATTTTGAGGAAGGCTAGTTGGTTAACTTTTGTGTTAACTTTCTATATAAAGAGGAAAGAGAAGGAAGAACTCGAGAGCGTTATTTAGTCCATCTGACTGAAAAGCTTGCTTTGAGTTGCTGCTTGTGCTACAGAATATAGGGAAATAAGCAGCATAACCCAGTTGTTTAAGGCTATGATGTGAATATCCTTCATCCTTATCTCTTTCCAGTCAGGGGATCTATGATGCTATGTTTACTATAATGTTAAAGTATATCATGTATATCAAGATATACATGAATTTCCTAACAATACAGCAATCTTTGCCAAGAATTGACAAAACAGTTACGCTGGTGCATCCCGCAAGAAAAAGTAATTGTGGCTATCCTCAGCCGGGAAATGGCTGCTTGAACTTCCTTCTCTCCCATTTCTATCATACATTAACCTTCATCATTTGTATTTGTACAATGAAATTAATTAACTTGGGGTGAATATTTGGAGAAGTGTTTAAAATCAGTAGCTCTTTAAAGAGCATGTGTATCAAGGAAATGGTAATGATGCATTTGTACCAAACAATTGTGCATTTTTAAAAATTTAATTGCTATAATGGATTTATATTAAATATTAATATAAAAAGGTTTCCCAGCAGTAAGTCAATGATCAGAGATTTGTTTACACAAAACAGTATTTTTCCCCAAAAAAAAGAGATTTTTCTGCTTATTATTCAATGTACTTTCATGACAAATTAAGAAACAGAGCTTTCTTACTTTAAGTTTATTCTTTCCAAGTAAGGCCATTTCAGATTTAGCAATTGTATGTTCTGTTCCTTAGGAAATAACAGAAGATCGGGATCGATCACGACTGGATTCAATGGTGCTGTTAATCATGAAACTGGACCAGCTTGACCAGGATATTGAAAATGCTCTCAGTGCAGGTTCTTCCCCATCCAGCACCCCAACATATAAACGGAGGCATATACCTGTAAGCCAGTTTGCTTAATCTTTCTTATTGTTCTAAGTCAAATCTGGTTTTACTTCACCTTTTCTTTTTCTTTCAGTCCTCACATTTATCAACTCTTGGTTTCAGAACTAAAGCTCTTTTTGTAAAGAATTTGTGTTGTATTTTTGTTTGCATGTATATATGTTTTGAAGGCAGTGATATTGGCTTCTATTATTTCCTTTTGTCATTGTTTCATAAATGAGAACTTCAGAGCTCCCAGATGAAAGAAAGGGAGATCAACAAGATTCAGAAAATGTCTGGCTCTCTAATTATCACTGTAAACACAGCCAGCACAGAGTCAGGATCACACCAGTCTAAGAGCATATGAGTAAGTGTCATTTGACATTAAATAGGTAGAACTCGAAAATCGGAGCTTCAGGTCTTGTTTTTCTGCTAGTGGGAGGATCCATGAAATTTTTGGCAGAGACACACTTATGAATCCTCTGTCACTCAAAATAAGATTCTGGACAGAACTGTGTGCTTTAATTATTTCAATTTCTTTAATTATTTTATTTATTCAAATGGGAGAATTCCTTGCTGAGAGTAGTCCAAAGAGAGACTGGACAGCTTCCAAACATGATTGATGCATTCTTTTTTTCTGAAAAATGTTTACATGTGTAACTATGAAGAACATGAAGTGGCTGACCCAAGGTGTTCTTGTGCAGGGTTCCTGTTAATTTTGCCCACATGTGTTGCAGCTGTTTTTCAATTTAAGAAACCTGAGAAATACTCCCCCAAGATCTCTAAGCTAACATTCAGGTCATTTGTTTTTGCTAGTGGTATTTTCTTTTAAATAATGAGGGGGTTTTCCTGTTAAAGCCAGACTTAATTATTGCTATGTAGTAAAATGAGTGGTCTATAGGTAAGAAAAGCTGTGTTTAAGTTTCAATGGGTTTGGTCAGATGAAGATTACATAAAGTGTCATTTTTAAAGGACATAACATTACTACACTTTCAATAGTTAAACATTTTCCCCCTGGATATCAATTTTCTCACAATATCTCCTTGAGCACTGATGGTACAGGAAAGCTGAAATACGATGTTAACATCTGTTCTCCATATCTCACCAATCCATGCCAGCATTTTAGCTGATTTCTGACAGCAATAAAGGGAGTTAAGGCAATCTGTATAAGTAAGTCTGCATGATAATCAGAGATGATACCTGTTTCCATGCTGCAAAGCAGCCTTCCAGAAAGATAGTCTGCATCAAACATGTTATATATGCTATTTATATACACTGATTTTCTAGGAATTTTTGAGCCTTTGAGTATTATGAATTGGAGGATCAAAAGATTTGGTTTTCAGGACATTTATGCATTGTGGTCAGTCTCACATTGATTTTATAGTAATGAAGCATTTGAATATGATGCAAAAACATAGGTGATAGGGCAGGGAGCATGGTTCTGCACCGTGGCAGCATGGCTCTGCTAAGCAGAAGTGTCTAAGAGCAGCTGTACCCAAGATGACTTCTACAGAGGTATTTCCATGGTTCTACTGCGCTTCCCAATGCTTCACGCTGCAGAGAACTCACTGATGGGAAATAGCTGACCCGAATGCATGGTCCTACCTACAGCGCAGCTTTGTCTCTAATTCCTACCCTTTTCACAAAACAGCACACTTGCGTACTTGGTGTAGAGGCACCTGTCTAACTGGCAGCTTCAGTTTGGCAGAGCAGAGACAACTGAAATTAATGAATGAAAGGCTTGCCATTTCTTTCCAGTTCAGGAGCAGAACCCCTGAGATATCTCTGCCCCATATTTCACCTATTCTAGAAACTTGGTATTAGGAAACTGAGGCTTTGTCTGCACAGCGCTGACTGGGGTTAATAGTTCAGGCTTTTTCTGTGTACTGTGTAGCTATATTCATGCAGGCTGCACCTCAGCTAATAATCCTGACAGTATATGGCTGGTTTTACACATTGCCAGCTCTTTGCCAGACATGTGTCACAATTTATCTGCAAGCAATATAATCCCCTGCCCTCACTCTATGCAGTAAATCAAGCATGCGCGATGTTTTTACTTCCTCAACAATAAAACATACTATATTTCTTCTTCTTTTTATTCTCAAAAAAGGAATGTAATCAATGTCATTAAAAGTAAGGGCATTTTAACCAGAAATAGCATTTGGCTGATAAGTGTCTGCTGATTTCAAAAAACTAGGGAGCTGTACCTCTGAATTGTATAAACTGCTGGATGGTGATGTCATTTCAGCTGTGTAATGTTTTACAGATGTTCATTGAGCTTGCAATGCTGCTGGAGACAGAAGGTGGGAGCACACAGGAAATACTGAACGTCAGAGAAAAATGTCAGACTTCTGCAACCCCAAACTGATTTTTCTTACCTTGCATTCTAACATTTAGTGGAATTATAGCTTTGATGATAGTGATGATTTATAATTTCAGAACAGCAGCTAATGCAAACCACCACATTGAAAAGCACAGCAAAGGAAGCAAGTGTAGGTAATGGAAAAGAACAAAGAGAATTACTCTTACGCAGAGAATTAAGCATATATATTTGAGTTGAGCCTAACTACTTCCATTATTTAGAAGAACTAGATTTTTATTTCATATTCACATTTACTAAAGAGACTTGCAACATTTTTTTACAGGATGTTGAATCTGGTTCTGAAAGTGCAGTGGATGTTGCTTCAGTAAATCATTCACAAACAAACTTGTCTCCTAACATCCATGCTCCTGACCTAGCATCTCCCTGTTTGGTAACCAGCTCTGGAGCTAAACCAAAGGCTGGGGTGAGTACCAAGATTATATTTTCTTAACTGCACTCATGACATCAGGTTGGAAGTGAAATAAAGATATTTTATACTATTCATTATATGGATTGTACAGCTATGTGTGTGACACTGAAAACAAAGGACTAATAATGCAAGTTGTCTCAAGGTGCCACTTGAGTGGCAAACAATCCTAGAAGTTTCGTATTCAGAAACACACTATTATCAGCTGATGATTACAACAAGTTGAGGTTTTATATAAGAAAATAAATTAAAGGAGCTATTCCATTTTACTTAGGAAGATAAGGTTTTCTGAAGTGGTATCACTAAATTTAGATTTCCTAAATCTCATGAAGGATGTAACCAGAGAAAAAGATGGTTGAATCATGTAGCCTGATTTACGATGCTCAAACCCAGTCACCCTAGCCCTCTTGAGAGGCTAAACTGTTGTGTACTGCAAGCAGAGGTATCACCTTACCGAAGGGAGAATGTCGTTCTAAGGCCAAGTTTGGCAAGTGGTTTCACACGCTGAGGATCAGAGGAAAGCCTCTGAGTGGGCAGACCCTTTCCTGCAGATGCCAGTGCATGGTAGGTGGTGAGGAAGGGTAGGTCTGAGAGCTCAGATGTGACAAGGAGCCTCCTTCTGTACCCGTTCATAGATACATATAGCCATCAGGAGCATGATCCTTTCTTTTGCCATTCTCCATCTACTGAAGAATCCTTCTTCATAATGCTTCAGATGTCAGCAAGTGCAGAAAACCTTGGATGTCCTAGAAACTCCTGACATACTTTCTGTTCCCTCTTGCACTTGCTTTTTCTGTTCCCTCAAGAAGCACAGAAACCTAAACTCTTCTAAACTTTGCCTAGACTGAAAAGTCTTAGCATCACAAATTCAACTGCCCCCAGTAACCAGACCAGTAGAAAATCTGGGATAAAATATTAAAACATAAAGTGTGGTTTGCATAAATATATATGTTTATAACAAGTTTATAAAAAGTAAAATAAAGGCCAGCTGTCATTTACTGCACTACAATAATAGCAAGTTAACTAATGCCTTCGATTGAGGCAGTAAGAAAAGTTCTAATAAACATTTACATTTAGGATTGTTCACTTGTACAAAAATAAATTCACTTGTAATTTATTATCAGTGCATAAGTATAGCAAATAGAGAGCTCTGCACTCTGTCATTGCATACAATGTAGCACAAACTCTCAAATAAGTACATATGTTATGCTAAAAGGTGATTGCGTATTTTGCCAGATCCTGAGAAAAGCACAGACACACTCTAAGGTATTAAACATCCCTTTTAAACTTACATTTCTCTACTAATATTTGGGCAACTCTTAACACCTGGCTTTGCAGAAGTGTGGGTCACTTCCTTTGAAGTTAGATATCATGTGTTAATTCACCTTTAATAAGTATTTATTTGACATTTGCTGTGATGGATTATATCATGCTGAACACACTGTGAATAGTGCTTTATTATATAATTTTTAACGTATATGATTTTGAGGAGATGCTTTTTTTTAAATTTGTAGAGTAACTGAATATACAAAAAATCTCTGCTGATGTGTGGGTTGTAGGGATACAATACAGAGCCCCTTTTTTAAAAATTTTTTTATAAGTGAAGCTGAATTTTCTCCAAACTGAACTCTTTTCCCTAAAGTCTTGGAGGCTGCAACTTGCCACACTCTATAGTGGGATTTGGGGGTGGGCTTTTTTGTAGTAAGTGTGTTCAGACAAAGACCATATTTTCATTTTTATCATAGTAGATTTGATAAGTACAAAAAAGTGGATCATCTTTGCTTGAGTGTAAATCTCCTGCAAATTGGGAAAAACAAGATCCTCTCACATATATCTTTTTTTTTATTCCTTTTGGCTTTGGGCTTTCAGATTGTTTTGATTGTGTGCCCTTCTGAGCCACAAATTGACTACTAATCTGTGCTGTGGCATCAACTGTTCAAAACCTCAGCTGCCTCCCTACCTGCAGTCAAACTTTATTTGAAAGCATAAGTTTTCTTGGAACACACTAGGAGAAAATAACCCTTCATTCTTAGCCTTGTATATCTCTATCCCTGTTGTTCATCTGGTCTGCATGGCTAGGTGGTCTGCTGCTAGGTGCTTGACTCCAAACCCATACTAGTAGAAAAGAAGTTCCCATATTCTTCTTGCCTTGTTCAGCGTTGGTCTCTACTCAGGATGAATTTTTTGAAATGGTGTGTTGAATGGCATGTCCTTGAAATACTGTTCAGAACAGACACCGGGGATGTCTCTGCACAGATCATTTCCATGTAGAGATCTCCTGTGAAAATCCTCAAAGTGTGGTGTTCTACCTATAAGGGAAACTGTTCTCATAGTTTCCTTTTTTTTTGGTCAGACTAGAAGGTGTAGGAGTAAGTTTATTCTGCACTGGAAACTCAGCAAGCTACTTTTTAATAGTAATAGACTGTTTCAAAGATTTTTTTCTTCCTTTTTGGTGTTTGCAGCTGCAGATCTTCAAGGATTCCAGATGCTTAGGGCAACTTATTTTGTTGTGTTTATTAATAATATGTAAACAGGAGCACAACTGCAATTAGTTACATTATGGAATGATATGTGGTATTTTTAAACAAACTATAGCAAACTGTTGACTGCGTCAAAATCAGACTGTACAATTAAAACACGACACTATATGCAGACTGGGGGGTGGGAATAATAAGGCAGGGAGATATGGTTTCAAACCTAGTCCCTGAGAAAGAACTTGTAAAAGATATTAACTACCTAAGATCTTATCTTACAGATAGGAATTAGGAAATCTGTGTATAGACAAACTATGTCCATTCATGTTAATTCAACTTTATATGGGTTTAAAACAAAAAATTTCTAACAATGTCACAGTGCACTGGAATATCCATAAGCAGAATTTGGTTTGATAACCCTAGTGGAAATGATTCACTCATTGGTTTATGAAAAAGGAGGACATTTTAAATTTTCCTGGGCAGATTTTATGAAATGTTAAACAAGATTTCCTGTAGTGGAGGTATTCAGAACAGTATTTAAAATTCAATATCAATTATAATTTTCTTTGCAAATTAATAGTAGATATTATTTTAAAGAAAATTGGGAGGATTGTATTTACATACACAAATTACTTAACATTTCATAAAAATTCACTTACGGATAGTCAAATCCTTTCTTGTCAGTGTGAATGTCTGTGTATAGTGCACATACATAGATAAGCATACACATACACGCACACGCACACAGAGTACTCCTTACTGAATACAGGCATGACAAGGAAGAGAACAGAATTCTCCCCAAAACATTATAGAAAGGTATTTCTATAGAAAGATTTTTCTATGATTCTGTGGGGTGCAGCATGAAAGCCTTTGATATGCAGATGTACATGGTATTTTGGGCTTATGAGAAGTATACAGGTGAATAACCCTCACCCTGAATTTAGGATGCCACTATTATCTTTCATGGTCAGGGTAAAATATGATAATGCATTGAACAGCGTATTTGGTCCACAGTATAACAACTAACTCAAAATGTACATGTTTGGCAAGGTGCACAAATGGACAATCCTTGTGAAATAAGGATTCACATGATTCAACAGATACATTTCCCACATAATTTAGGATAGGATAGCAAGAAATGTTTTTGGCATCTTTGTATTACTTATGTTTACAGAGTAAAGAATATTCATGCTTCTGTAATCAGCACACTTCTATGTTCTGGGTTTTTATTCACCAGTCTCCAAAATAGACAATGATTTTTGAATATTAACACTCAAGGATATAGACTTGGCAAGCATTAATCACACCGGAGTTGAAATCAGCTTAAAAAAATATGAAATCGACAGGCTTTTGCCCCAGTGGTCATGACAAATACTGGTAAATGGGAGTGTCTGGTCTGGGTTTAGAGAGCAAGGAATGTAAATATCCTACATGTTACTACCTTCTACAAACTAGTGGCACACATCTGAACACTTATAAAATTATTAAACAATAAAGACCAGAAATTATTTATTTTTAAATTTGCCTTGATTATTATAAAAACAATATGTGGCTACAGAATTTAAAATGTATTTTAATAACAAAAGGTAAGATGCAATAGGCTTCTCCAGCACTCAGTTATAAAGCCTAACTAGTTAAGGAAAGCTTGAATCAATTATCATTGTCTTTTTTTTTTTTTTTCCCTAAATATAAAAGTTGGCTAAATGACAATAGCAGCTAAAGCCTAAAAGTTGTGGCCAAATATTTTCCCTTGAACATCTGCTCTGCAAAGCCTATCTATTTTCTCTTCAGGTGAAAAAAAAGGGCCATGATTATTTTCTACTGCTTTTCTTGGCACTTCTGTCCCTCTTGCTTCAACAGTGTCCAACTTACCTTTAATCACACTGTGCAAAGGTAATCAGAAATCTATTATCACCAGAATAGCTGGCATCTAGGAGAAGATTGTTTTTCAGATTAGCTGTAATGACTCATTTGAAATTCATTCATTTCTCAAAGTGATTTTAGGCACCAGTTATGCCTGCAAGTACAAACGACCCAGTCTGGCTGCGCACTAGAATAGAATTCAGGTGCAGCTCCTGATTTTGGTGAAGCCCTGGGTGAGATCAGGAGGCCACTTTCACAAATCTTGTTACTGGATTGGGACAGAAGGTTGTGTTATTCAGATGACAGTTTTGCAAACTGTTCATTTGTCTGTACTAAAATGATCTAGCCTTTCACATATGCTTTTGATTCATATTATATTTTAAAATTTCACCTATTTGAAGAAAGCCAAATCATTTTGTGAAGAATAATTTATAGATTTGTAGATTAAGAAATAGAGTTCAAGTTTCTTGCTACTTTACTACACTGTTTTTGAATTTATGAAAGAAGCTAAAATTTATGGTAAGTACAAGGAAACTTTGATTTCAGAATTAAATATTCATAAAGAAGAATTGTCAGGGCAGCAGCTGTTTGAAATGCTTACATTTCCCACTGCATTATGTTTTATAGTAAATTCAATGACTATGAGGTGTGCAAACACAC